GGAACCATAACTGATATAATGAGCCTTTTGCGGTTTCACTTTTAATTCGTGTGTACTTAGACATGCATGGCTTAATCTTTGAGACAAGCATATAACTACTGGCAGGATCAACCAGAATAATGTTTTTGTTTCGTGCGCATATGCACACATATGTAAATATTTGACAACTCAATATACTTTTGAATAAAAAAAACAGTATAATAATACATAGTTTTTAACAACAGTTTATGAGAATTTGTTAAACGAATGCGGCCATTTTTATATAGCATTCACATTCGCCATTTTTCTCTATATATTTTTCTATATATATTTAATATAAAAAATTTTAGCAATATATAACGAGAGAATTAATATTCTCTCATTTGTTTAATATGTACAACATTCGATTATTAAATATATCCATATAAATATATACATTTTTTCGTTCAAAAATATCTTTTTATTTGCACTTAATATATTATCACACGTGTATTTGCTTAAACCAATATAAATTGTGTTTGAGCTTTGTATTTTGACAACAAATTTAAAATTTATCCAATTTCGTATACGTTATTTGCGATATACATTAAATAAAACCAAACACATGAGTGTTCATGTAGAATGGATTTTGATATATTGGCAATATTTGAATTTGCATATAAATCGCTTTGATTATATGCTGGTACATTGGTGAAATGGTACTCATACAATTATAAATCATATAAGACCATTTCCGGACATTCACGATAATAATTCGAAACCAAAATGATATATACTAAAGAGAATTCACGCTTCAATATATCTTGGCCAGTTTCACTATATTATCTTAAGATCAATTTGTCGTAGCCAAGCATTCAATATTTAAAGAACTTTTTTAACAACAAATATCACTTATTAAACTACTATGAGTATAATGACAACGTATAATAATACCATATACAATACTATACCAAATATTGCACACAATATCGATGGACATCAACTGTCCATCATGTATAGGTCTCGTTCGAAGTCAAGACGTGATTGCGGACAATCACGCTTGTCGAGCGCCCCAAGCGGCAAACGCTCTGAGGTCAGCACGTGCGCTCACCAACACGCACGCTCGCACTTGGAGTGCGTTTTACTCGCCATCTGCTGTCGAAACGAACCCGGAATTCAACTCGTCGCGGCTGACGCCGGCAGTTGGGCAGCAGCATGCCCCTCTCCCCCGCTCCAAGCGATTCACCCCCGAAACAATATGGACTGGCAAGCCCCAACACGAGTCATAAGGAATCGTAAGGGATCAAGCAAACCGAAGAAGGCCAACATACCGGAAAATGCGCCTGACTCTGACGACTCCAGCTCAGGAATGGAGCCTGGAGAGATTAAAAGGAAGCCTGCCCGCAAGCAGTTTCCCGCTAATCAACTAGATGGGCCCAGCACCAGCTCTGCAGCCAGGGCCGGGCTTGCAACAACAGATTGCGGCTCTGTCCAATGATGAGGACCTTGATGACGACAGCATGGACTCCTCCGAGGAGGGCCACCCAGCTCAAAGCCGGCGGCCCCCAGCCCAGGCCCCCCCCCTTCATCCCGGTGTGCAAACATCAAAATGTTCGCCAGTGCCATTGCCCAGGTTATTGGAGAGGGCAAGGAGTTCACTTACAGGGCGACCAGGGACAATAACATAAGGGTGATGACAAATGAGAGGCAAGCTACTCGGCGCTGAAGAAGTTCCTGGATGATTCAGGGAAAAGGTACCAAACATTCCAGCCCGAGATGAGAGGCCATATCGTGTCGTCATCAAGGGACTACACTACTCCACAGACCTCGAAGATATTAAGGCAGCTCTGCACAGCCAAGGCCATGTCGCCAGGGATGTCCATAACCTGGTCAACAAGGCGAAAACAGCGGTACAGCATTTTTTTGCAAACCTTGAGCCGGCAAGCAACAACAAAGAGGCCTACAACATCAAAAGGATTTGCCACTCAGTTGTC